AATCGGGGTTCATCTTCTGCTGAAAATGAAATAAATCATTTTTCTCTGTATACCAGAGCAGCTTTCAGTATATTACTTTGCTTCTAGACTCCATTTTAAGACACCAAAAGCCAAAAAGTTTGCTTTATATCGAAGACAATTTTACTAAAAATAATAATTGTGGGCCCCTTCCGTTTCAATGTGTTCTATACATGCATTCTGCTCTAAGGATATAAAATGTTTGCATATCTTTCGTATACGGCATAAAAGAAAAAAAGTGGGACATTTCACGACATTTCATATACATGCTTGATTAAGGCCCTTATTTTTGGCGTAGTAAAACAAAGTACGGTTTCATATGTTTATTACTTATCTTTACGGCACAAAACTTAACAGACTCCGCTCTTCTTTTCCTGACAATAATGCGTTATCACACATGAGCACTTGCCTTAATTTTATTTAGAGAAAACAAAATGTGCTATTCTGTCAGCAAACATTACTAAGCAGTTCCTGATCCTTATTAATTTTCTTTTATAGCACAACATGCACGAACAAGAGGCGTTTTCGCAGTTTTTAATAGTGTTGCATTTGGACAATGTCCCCCACTACACATATCTGAATTGAACTCATTTCTAGTAAATGGCATTTTTGCGCCTGAAGTCAACTCAATGAACAAAATAAAAAACTCAAATGTGTGTTTAATCCACACTCAAATTTTAAACTTCACATTCAATCCAATATACAATCGACTGTATGCACCGTGCAGCGGGGCCCGTCACAAAAGCAGGTGGAAAGGCCCAGCCTTTAGTCCAGGAGCTGCAAGAAAAAAAACTCGCCAGCCGGTTCACTGGCACAACGGATGAGCGAAGATTCATTGATCAGCCTTGTAAGGACGGCCTAGCACGCTAGCCATCACTCGGGCCATCCTGAGGCAAGAGATCAAAGGAAGCCCACGTGTTAGTGGACATAGGCAGAACGGGCCAAGAAGCGCGATATTTAAGAGCCGACACGCGAGGACGCAAGGACAGTCGCCGGCCGGTTTCTGAGGTTACGTCTGACAAGGGGGCAAGAAAGGACGCATGCACATGCGCGCGTGACGAGAGCGCGACGTATCACACTGAGCACACCACACGATGGCTTTTCGAATGGGTCACTAGGGAAGGGGCCAATAGAGAACAAGGACTGCCGGTCCTTAAATAAGTTGCCACCGTTAAAGGCGGATTCTGCTGTAAGTGCCACGAGACTCTGTTGCCGAGATCTGCTGCGGGGAGAGACGAGACCGACGACAAAACACACGCTGCTGACGGACACAGAAGACTAAGCTCACGGACACGCAGAAGACAGAGCGTATGTTCAAGCAGAAATAGTGACAGTATACTATTATATGCTATCCTGTCTGCCTTCTCTTCCTAACACGCAACAGGATGATATAAGCAGTGTCGACGCAGACACACAGAAGGTTATAACAAGCCTAGTTTCTGGAGAACTACAGGGTACAAATCCACTTACTCGCTCGAATTCTCGAGCTGAAATGGTACCTAGGAGGAGCATACTCCATATTAAAGAAATAAAACGAACTTCACGGTAACAACTACGGTGTGCAGATATGCCTTTGCTCTACATCACACTGCTTACATCCTGTGTTTGCCAGTGAATGTTTCCAGGTAAAAATTCT